TATTTTGATGATGCGATCGCACGAGTAGGTTCATATGATGTCTTTGAGTTAGTATGCACACTTGGTTTGGAGTTTCGAGGGCTCGGGTGAGTTTCGGGTAGGTTCCGGGATGTCTTAGGCCTAAAACATAGTTGTTGCAGGTTCAGAGAATGGAAGGCCACTGAACAAACCAGTGCGGTCCACACAAAATAGAGTGCTGCCGCGGAGAGGCCTGTGCGGCCGCACTGGATTTGAACCTCGATTTGAGGTCCGATTTCAAAACAAATTATATATTTGGGTTCGTGGGGGAATGGGTAATCAGATTTTGGTTCGAACTTCGGGTTTTGACCATGTGGGTCCGGGGCGATTTTTGACTTTTGGGTAAAACTTTGGAAAACTCATTTTCATGCATTGGAGTTGATTCATTTAGCGTTTATTGATGTAATTAAGTAAATTGTGGTTAGATTCTAGCGGGTTGGAAGTGGAACCAAGGGGTAAAGCGGTAGTTGAAGCTTGATTGTGCTCGTGTCTATGAGGTAAATGTTTGGTCTAACCTTAGCTTGAAGGATTAAGAGCTGTGTCTTATTTGCTACATGTTAATTGTAGAGTATGACATATAGGCATGGTAATGAGTATCTATACGTTGGTGTCAAGCATGCCCGTGAGTCTTGTATTATAATTGTTTTGACTCCGTTGTGGTTTATTGTGCTTCATATGTTATTATCACCATTGTTCCCTTACCGGGATATTTGTTTGATATTAATGATCCCTTGTCGGGATGTTTGTTTTGATAGTATTGTTCCCTTGCTGGGATGTTGTTGAAATATCATTGTTCCCTTGCCGGGAAGTTGTTATATTGCTCTTGTTCCCTTGCCGCGATTCCTTGTGACTATTGTTGGCTTGTNATAATGAAATGGGAGCGGGTGGTACACCTACCACAAGATATAATGAAATGGGAGCGGGTGGTACTCCTACCATGAGATAAATAAAATGGGAGTGGGTGGCACGGCTGCCACGAGATATAGGTAATGGGAGCGGGTGGCACGCCTGCCACGAGATACAGGAAATGGGATCGGGTTGCACGCCTGCAACAAGACGTGAAGAGAAAGTGAAAATTGCCTTTCTTTTCCTTATTCTTATTAGTGGTTGGATTTTGATTCCTTTGTAATTCTCTTGATATTCTGTTTTTACTTGTTATTCCCCTGAAGCATGTTTCCCCTTCCCATCTTTACTTGTTTATTCCTGCATTACTTTCCGCTGTATATTATATAACTACACAGGTTTATTTGGTAGTCTGGTCCTAGCCTCGTCACTACTTCGCCGAGGGTAGGCTAGGCACTTACCAGCACATGGGGCCGGTTGTGCTGATACTATAGTCTATACTATGTGCAGATATCAGAGTAGCTCTTGGACCGTAGTTTGGAGGCTACCTTCAGCCCATGCGGAGATCCAAGGTAGACCTGCAGGCATCCGCAGGCCCTGACGTCTCCTCTATATTTTATTTCCTATTTCATCTTTTTTGCTTCAGAAACAATGTGTCTTTTATTCTCGGACCTTGTATTTAGCAGTCTTAGAACGTCGGTGACATTGTGACACTAGGTTTTGGGTGATTATGGCTTAAGTAGTTGTAATAGCTACTGAATCAGATATTTTATTATTTTTCTTCCTCTTAAATAAATATTCTTCTATTTATACGTTATCGCTTTATATCTGTTTAAAAAAATTAATTGGATAATGGAGTAATTAGTTTAAAGGATTGGCTTGCCTAGCTCACATTAGTAGGCGCTATCACGACTCTCGAGGGTGGAAAATCCGGGTCGTGACATAAGCACTGCCCTGGGTTCTTGAAGCCCTTGGGAACTCTGACACAGTAGGGATTTGGGTTATGTATGCTTAGCCTTGATATATGGGTGAATCACTTAACAACTGGTTATGTTGTGAACATGAGTTTTGGAGCTGTTGTGGGTTGAAGGCCTGGCCTGTCCAGGTGTATTTGGGCATGTTGTAGGCTCCCTATAGTTACACTTATTCTTTTATTTACTATATTCAATTCTAGGACTGTAATAAAAATCCTACCTATAGGTTCAACAATGTGCTATTGCATGTTCAGTTATCGTGTGTTCTATCATGCCTATAGGTATCCTATTATATTCAGCCATTATATGTTAGCAATCCTGCCTATAGGTTCAATAGTTGGTTTAGTCGTTTTAGAAACCATGCCTATAGGGAATTGTATTTCAATATGTGTGCAAAACCTCATTCACATGCTGTTCTATTTACAAATTATAGAAATCATGTCTATAGGATCTAAAATTGGAATAAATTGTAGAAAGCATGCCTATAGTTTTGAATAAGTTTAATTATCATTTTTGCCCGTTCGTTCATGAGTTTCCAAACACTATGCTATTACTCTTACAAGAAAACCTGCCTATAAGGTCAAATAAGTGATTTTGAATATGTTTCTGAGATTGCCAGTATTTATTATCGCGTAAAACACCTAGACATCATGCCTATAGGTTTAATCTCCTTATGTTTAATATCAGTAGGCAAATCATACATGTTTTGGAAAGTATAATGGCTTTTGCGTATAACTGTCCGCCCATATAAATCCAGATTCATATAGAGATCCAGCCTATAGGTTTCTATAATCTTAACTATTTAAAATCGGCAAGTGTCTTTGTTAATCTGACTTGCATGCATTTGTTGTCTAATTGTGGAGGTCAACTTAAGCCCTTGCTTGCTTATAAGTGAAAGTCCAATGTGTTTTATATGTCGTCTAACTTTTGACATTTTTGAGCAGCCTAAGTTAAAGTCTAGAAACACCGTGAAATAGAGGTCCAAATGCCTCCCGGACCATAGGCATGGGACGGGTAGTGCACGCATAAGATACAACGTAGAATTGACTAGTGCGCTTCAGGTAAATAACTTAAAGATAGTAATTGGGTAGCAGAAGATGATAGTCTGTGCCCGCTGAATAATATGAGTAACACTCTATCTTGAGGGAGTTACGAAGTATTATTTATGTTGCATGGGGTGATCCTTTAGGTTAAAAAACTTAGGATCCCTCCTTCCTTGTCTTTCAATCCATTATTCACGTTTAGTAATTCCTTGTTTCTTAGCTTTGATCACATAGACTAATTCATATAATTGAGTTCGGCCGGGACCCACAATTGTGGACCTCGAAGAGTGCCTAACACCTTCTCTTCGAGGTAATTTTGAGCCCTTACCCGATCTTTGGTGATGTAAACTGGTCAAATAAAGTTATTTGCAAATAGGTGCCCTAATGCACCTTAATACGTTAGGTGACGACTCTCTCTTTTAAAACCCTTCCTTAAAAGAGTTGTCACATGTGGAAGCCCGATTTTGCGAGAAAAAGGGGCGCAACAATTGATATGGTAAAATAAGGGTTAATTATGATATTGATATTAATATATGGTGGGATCAGGTTGCATACCGTAACAAGTATATATATTATTTACTGTTATTGATATTGTTATGGTGGAATAAGAGAGGATTATCTGTTGTCTGGTGGGATGGGGTTGCGCGCCACAATAACCCATATGTTCTATTTTCTTAAGCTGCGTTGTTTTCCGGTATTTTTATTTGAGCTGGTAGAGATTGATAATTTTGGACGATACTGGTTTATTTTCGAGGCTGTGGTTATCATTTCATGTTGGTTGTTTAATTCCGTACTGTATTTCAATTATTCTATCATTATTATAGGCTGCGTACAGGTTTTAGCGTAGGTGACCTGCCTTAGCCTCGTCACTATTTTGTCGAGGTTAGACTCAACATTTACAAGTACATGGGATCGGTTGTACTGATACTACACTCTGCACACTGTGTAGATTTTGGAGACGATCCCTGCGGTAGTTACTAGCAATCTCGGATTGGACATTTGTGGAGACTTAAGGTACGACTGTTTAGCGCCCGCAACTCCTATAGTCCCCATCCTTTTATTAGCTGTACAAATTCATTCAGATAGCTTTGTACTTATTTCAAACCTTTATGTGTATTACTCTAGAAGCTCGTGCACTTGTGACATCAGGTTTAAGGAATTGTAATAGACGTTAGTTGTTTAGCTTCCATATTTATACTTAGAACATATCTGTTATTTCAGTTCGTTATTAATGTTATCGTTTAAGCTGCTGAAGAAAGTAAATTGTTCTAACGTTGGCTTGCCTAGCAAGTGAAATATTAAGCGCCATCACAATCCCGACGGTCGGAATTTCGGGTCGTGGCTATTTCAATTATTCTGTCATTATTATAGACTATGTACAGGTTTTAGCGTAGGTGACCCGCCTTAGCCTCGTTACTGCTTCGTCGAGGTTAGGCTCGGCACTTACCAGTACATGGGGTCGATTGTACTGATACTACACTCTGCACACTGTGCAGATTTTGGAGACAGTCCCAGCGGTCGTTGTGAGCACCTAATTTTTTGCCCACATGAAAATAACTCCTAAAAATAGGCCAAAAATAATTTTAATGGATTTTAGAAACTTTTCTTCATTTAGTTGCATTTCATGCATTTTTAATATTTTTAAAATCATAAAAAAATCACAAAAAATTAGCACGTTTTAATTTCATACCATCTTAGGTTCAATTTGCATTTAGGAATTAATTACATTTAGCAAAAATAAAAAAATGACCATTTTTACATATTTAGATTTTAGTCTTTAAAATTAGCATTTTTTTCTTTCGTTTTAAGTCAATTAGTTGTTTTAATGTTAGTAATAGATAAAGAATTTTAATTTTTACAAAAATAGATTAATTTAGGATTTAATTAATTTAATTTAGGATTTCAATTAATTAAAGAAAAGAAAAAGGAAAAACAAAGAAAAGGAAAATAGGAAGAATATATTTTGGTCTTGTTTCTTTTAAAATTGGGCCACTTCCTAAAATGACCCAAATTAATTTTAAACCTCGACCCAATTCCCATGACCCAATTCCCTTCGGCCCAATTCCCATGACCCAAATTCCCTCACTAAAAACCCCCATATTCCTTTAACCCTAAGATAGACATCAGAAGACAAAAAATAACAATCAGATCTACCCAAAAAAAGGAGAAAAAAAAGTTGTGTTCCTTCCTTACATAGTAAGAACGAACTCCCTCCCCATATGAGAAAATCCCAGTCGCCATGGTTACCATCTCCACTCCCCCACTTCTCTTATGAACATACACGAAAAACACACAAACAAGAGATAGAAAGAGAAAAGAGATCTGAACAGAAACGAGAGAGAAAAAAAACTCTAGAACGCGAAATTCCAGATCTGAAATTTTTTCAAAGAGTGTTTCGAATTTCAAACAAGCTGATTTCGCTGTTTGTTTACATTGATGTTCAGTATCTGAGCTCCAACATTACATTTGCTTTTCAGCCTTTGTTTTGGATTTCAAGTTTCTTTGGGTTTTAGGTATGTGTATCAGTCCAAAAGTGCTTTAAATTTTGTCTAAATATTATATGGCAATGAAGCTCGCATTAATTGTTCCTTATATACTGAAAGGTTTTTGTTACATAAAGTAGTCTTCTTTTGCTCTTCTAAATCTTAAATGCTGGAAGTTAGTCCTTAATTGAATGAATTGTGTGTCTTTTAAAAAAAGATAAATATAGATCTACAGTAAGCTGTCTCACTAACATAAAGAACTTTTATCTTTGAATTTGGATGCTTGGCATGTTTCTATGGTAGAAAAAAATGGGTTTCACAATTGCATTTGTATACTTCAGTGTAGTGTCTATAAGGATGCGAACTTGAGATTTTTAAGTGATATTTGAACGTAATTCTGGAGATATAGCATAGGGATATGAAATCACATGGTATGGTCTTATTGCTAGTGGGAGGTAGCATGTATCCTATGGAATTAGTTGAGGTATGCCCAAGCTGGCCTGAATATCATGGTTATAAAAAAAATGGTTGTTTAAACAGCTCAATTGTTGACTAACATCACTGTTATACATGTTACTCTTATAAATTTGGCATTGTCATGTTTCAATGGCCAGCCCGCATACAAGAACTGCCATCATACATGTGATCTTCTACAACTTACTATGTTTGGCACGTCAGGTTCTTTGCAGTCCCCTCTATTTTGTTCCATTAGCCAAGGACAAAAGCTAAAAATTATTGAGGAAGTGTAAACACTCTAGCATATCAATTACTGCCATACTTGTAATAAGTGTTTATCCTCCATTGAAGTAGAAGAACACTTATAAATTACAGGGCATTGAGCTTAAAATATTGTTTATCCTGAGTCTTTGCTCCTGATTTTTGCTTTTACTCCCTTGCTTCTGTAGCTCTGCTAAATGAGTGTACCAATATATTGTTCGATATAGTGGTGATTTATGGATAAAAATATTTGGTTAAACTTTTCAAAAGTAACTTGCTTTGCTGTTAGAAGTGTCATATGTATTGTCACTAACTTATATTCTGATACCAGACATGTCATATCTTTCTCTTTTTATTGAGTCTCAGTTTGTGATGATATTTACTAATGTTCCTTTTTCATGCTATGGACCTCTTCTTAGGGAAATAAGTAATGAATATCGTAGCTTTCTTTAGGCGCGATTAATAAATAAATCATTTTTACTATGGGTACGGTTCCCGTGGCACAATTGCGATACGTAAATCTAAATTCGGGTATGCATTTCATGTGACCCGATCATAACTACTTTGAACAATAATAAAATAAACATATCGCGAATCGCGAGTGCATTTCATGTAGCATGGTTTGTGGTGTATTCCAAAACGACAAGTGTACGATAATCGTAACTTGTTCAAGAAATAATTTCATAATCCTAAAAGCGGTTATAAAGTTAAAAATGCACAATAGATTTAAAACATGTAATTAATCAGATAATTATGCCAAGTATTAATAGTTAAGCGACCGTGCTCGAACCACGAAACCCGGGAATGCCTAACACCTTATCCCGGGTTAACAGAATTCCTTACCTAGAATTTTTGGATTCGCAGACTTTTAAATAATGTCAAATTTTCCTCGATTTGGGATTTTAAAATAAATCGGTGACTTGGGACACCATAATAATTATTCCAAGTGGCGAATCAATAATCCTATTTCGATTAATATCACTTTAATTGGAAAAACTCCCTTATATACCCTCTCGGGTGTAAAAAGAAGGCGTGACAGATCTGGCGACACTGCTGGGGAACATAACCCAGAACTTTTGGTTCAGGGTTCAAGAATTCGAGCTTAGAATAATTATTATACTTGGCTTTATTTATTATTTGATTTATACATATTTGAACTTAATGTGCTAAATGCCGCTTTTTACCGCTTTGATATTGTTTGGACTAGATATAAATTGTTACGAAACCCTCTTCTCCCTGAGTCTTCTAAATCATCTGAGAAGTGTGCATTTCATGTGACTTCTTTTCTGTTAGAGTCATATCCCAATTTTAGAACGAGGTTCAGACAATTTGTAAAGCCGGTGAAGCTTCTGTATTCCCGGTACGCTGCCCCCCCGGCTCGAGCTGTCCGCTCGGGTAAGCCAGGTTTAGAATAATACACCCATGTTCTTAAACCTAAAATAACATAACCCCATGTCGGATCCCTAGTAGGTTCGTTTGTTTGCATCACGTGCATCTGACTTTAGGGACTCAACACAGGGGTTAGGTCCATCTAGGACAGGTGTACCCATATTAAAAGACCATCCTGATGCATCTTACGTACTACTTGCACATCTATCTGTTTCGGCTTGCATGTTGACCAACTTCTGGAATAGGGAAATAAAATAACAAAAATGAAGAATAAAAAATCAATCAAAAGTCAAAACCAAGAATGAGGTAGGTATTTGAAAAATTTCGAAACTCTGCCGAAATTCTGAAAAAAAAGAGAAAGAGAAAAGTCATTTCAAAATGAGCCCAAAATCTCAAGTGCCATGTTTTTCATGTTTCGTCAAAACTGACCGAACTACGCGGGTCTGATTCTCACCAGATGTGAGATACGCAGTCAAACCTCATCAGTTCCGGCCCAATTTTTAAAAAAATATCCAAAAAAATATTTTCCTTTAATTCCTTTATTAGAAGCATATCCTTAGAAAATTCAAAAAAAGATTTTTAAACTAAAAAAAATAGTATCCTTGTTGCTGAAGTCTTTCATATGGAAAAAAGAAATAAAAGAAAAATCAATCAAAAATCAAAATTAAAAATATGAGTTTCCTTTATTTTGAAGTATTTTGCCAATAAATTCAAAAATCAGAAAAAAAAGAAACCAAAAAAAACAAATTCTTTTCTTTCTTTAAAAGTCTTTCTTTCACAAATAACATAAAAAAATTGAAAAATTGAAGTCCAAAAAATATTTTCGTTTTTCTTTAGAAGTACTTTGTAAATTTAAAAACAAAAAAAAAACTCAGAAATCCAAAATATTTTTCTTAAAAGCCCATCTCTCGAAAATTAAGAGGCAACATCCAAAATTCAAAAATATATTTTCTTTCTTCTTTAGAAAAAGAGAAAACAAATAAAAATTCAAACAAAAATATTTTCCTTTCACTTTTTGAAAAGTTCCAATCAACAGAAAAAGAATTATTTTCTTTCTTTCAAAAATAAAAATAAAATCAAAATAAAAAATCCAAAAAAAATCTTCTTTTAGAGCATTTTTTTCGAAAATTCCAAAAGCAATAAAAGAAATCAAAAATCAAAAAATATTTTTCTTTTATATTAAAGCTTTCATCGTATGAGTTTTATAAAAAGTAAAAAAAAGAGTTAGCTTATTTACTCCATTCTCGATCTTCCCGAACTGTGCAAGATCTGATTCATGGTGGCGTTATGATACGTAGGTAATCCCCATCAGATTCAATCATAGCCATAAAAAATAAAACTGAGTGAAAAATAATTTGAAAAAAAGAGAGAAAAAATTGATTGAGTGTAAAAGAAAGAAAAGAGTGAAAAAAAGAAAAAGAAAAAGGAAAAAGGGAGCGACAAAAAAATAAAAGATTGACAAAAACAAAACAAAAGGAAAAAAGAGTGCCAAAAAATAAAAGAGCAACAGAAACGAAATGAAGAAAAAAAAATCAAGAGTGATGAAAGAGAGGCAGAAAAAGAGGTACATATTGAAAGGTTTAGTTAAGGCGGGGATGAAACATGCAACCGTTCAAACACATTATAGAAACGTTTAACTGCTAGGTGCATTGCATCCCAACGTGCGATTTCCTATATGTTAAATGTCTCAAAACTAGCAAGGTTGTTGGGTGTGAAAATTAGCCAGGTTTTGGTGGTTGATTTTGTTGGTAGTCTAGCCTCCCCTCCTTCACAAGATCCAAAGGTACAGATGGCCTCCGCAAGCAATCTACCAATCATCGGTCCTGAGAATAGCCCGACATCGGCTATTCTGCAGCTAGAATCAGTAGCTGCTAAAGAGAATAAGATGTTGCGTCTCCGCATATTGAAAATGCTGGACGCTTGGTCTAATGGTAGGGAACCGCCAAGTGCAATCCCTGGGTTTCCTAAGTTGATCCCCAGGTCAGGTGAGGTTACCAACATCCTTGTGCCCAACCCGCTCATCCCATACGGGCACCCTCCAATGCCGTTCAATATTCCTAGCATGCCTTCTGTGGTTCGTCCCCAGGCGCCAGTTTCCAGGGCACCTCTAATATTGTTCTCTGCAGCACCAATCCGCACCAGAGAACAACAAACTTTACCACAGTCGTATATTGAACCTCCAATGTTCACCTTTCGGGGTCCAAAACTTCAATCAGAAATAACATATGTGACCCCGTACTCTTTCACTCAACCTCCGAATATGATCTATAGGTGGAGCAAGAAAAAGTTGTTAAAAATCTCGAGTAAGAGGAAATGGCTCAGAAGATGAAGAGCCTCGAACAAATCCTGAAAAACATGCAAGGTCTGAGTGGCCAAAAGAGTGTCTCATACTCTGACCTATGTATGTTTCCCCATGTCCACTTGCCAGATGGCTTCAAGATGCCAAAATTTGAAAAGTACAACGGGCACGGAGACCCGGTCACTCACCTGAAACAATACTATAACCAGTTGAGAGGCGCTGATGGAAAAGAGGAGCTGCTAATGGCCTATTTTGGGGAAAGCCTCACCGGAATCGCTTCTAAGTGGTATACGGATCAAGAATTACTCATTGGCACGTGTGGGACGATATTGCCCGAGATTTTGTCCGCCAGTTCCAGTATAATGTGGACATCGCTCCTGACAGAATTTCTTTGTCCAATTTGAAAAAGAAAATCGCGGAAAGATTCCGCGTATATGCTGTCAAATGGCGTGAGCAAGCTGCCAGGGTAAAGCCTCCAATGGATGAAATTGAAATGGTCACGGTCTTTATACAGGCCCAAGAGGCGGACTACTTCCAGAACATGATGTCCGTTATGGGAAAACTGTTTGCTGAGGCTATCAAAATTGGGGAGATGGTAGAAAGTGGGCTAAAAACGGGTCGAATCTTGAGTCATGCTGCTTTTAAAGCCATATCACTAGATGTTCAAAATGGTTCAGAGGGTTTGATAAATAAAAACGGGAGAGAAGAATGAGCCATGATGGTTTTCAGCTCGAGGTCCCCCCCCAAGTTATTCAGCCAATCATATATGCTTCCTGAGGTCCCTCAACACTATTATCCCCTTCAAGATGCTGCTTATGCCGTGGCACCGCCTCCCTATACGGTGATGAACGCGCACCTTACCCGCGGCCACAACATCATACACAAAACCGAGCTCCACCTCCCATAAATGTCCATCCTTACCAAGCTCCATATAATCCCCAACCAAATGTTCTCCAGTTCAATCCTCGCCCAAGAGATCCTTTCAGAAAGAATAAGTTCACCCATTGTTAACTTATATGAGTCCAGCAAACTATAGGCACCTGATCCCTTATGAGTTTCTACTGAGAATACTTAAGAAGTAGTAAGCAAAAGAGACAAGGGATTTTTACGTGGAAAAATCCCACACAAGGGGACAAAAACCACGACCTACACTTGTAGGTTTTCAACTTCACTAACTTGTAATCTCACTATTACAAGCCACTTTGTAATGACTCAATTACAAAGACTTCAACTAACTAACTTGTAATACTCTTACCACAAGCCACTTTGCGACTCTCTAGTTACAAAGACTTTAAACTTATGACTAAATCTAGTCACAACATAAACTTAGAAAGTTTACGGATTTTGGGTTTCCTAAAACATAGCTTCTAAGAAAGCAGGATAATAGTTACAATGAAGAACAAATAACAAGATTACAACTCAACTACGGATACACATAAACTCTTTATGAAACTGATCCTTTAGTGGAGTTGTCTTTTTGTTCTTGACAAGCCAATGACTTCAATTCTGAATGAACACTTTAATGCTTGAGAGAATATTACTAAATGTACAAGTGAGTATTATACTACAAAAGACATCACA